AGAATTTTGAGGCTAGACTGATATCATTTTGGCTTATATCTCTGTCATTCTTGGCCACTACAATGTAAAATGCAAATGTTTCAAGAAATATATTTTATTCATTCAACAAATATTTACCAAATACTTACTGAATACCAGCTGTATGTTGTGAGGAAATAGCAGTGAAGTGAACATATTCCTATCATAAGGCAGCCTGTGTTCTAATGGAGCAAGAGAAACAAGAAATATTCAAAACACACACTATGTTAGGTACCAATAAGTGCTGTGGAGAAGAATAAGGTAAGTAGTGGGGTTAGGAAGGGCACATACATTTGGGAGGGGGGTTCCCTATTATATAAAGAGTTCAGGGTGGGACTGAATGAGAAGGTGACAGTTGAGTGGCATTTGAGATAAGGTGGCAAGTCTGGAGGATATCTACAGATAACTCTCCAGGTAAAGGAACAACAAGTACAAGAACTTGAAGAGGGAGGATGTCTGCAGTGTTCTAGTTATAGCAGGAGTGTAGTGAACGGGAGATGAGGTCAGAGCAGTGGTGGGGCCAAGTTCTGTAGGGCCCTGTGGGTCATGGTGAGCACATGCTTTTCCCCTGAGTAATCGAGAAAGCCATTGGAATGAAATGGTACAGAAAGTTTTAACTTATATTTACCTTAGTTTAACCCTTACATGTTTCCTTTTATGCTTCCATATTTGCATCCTCCAGAAGGACTTTTTCTTGACCCTGAATGCGTTCCTTTCCAGGTTCTGGAAATAATCTCCCTAGATCCCAGCTTCTTCTTTTTCTTTTTCTTTTTTTAATGTTGTTTTAAAATAGAGGCGAGGTCTCATTATGTTCCTAGGCTGGCATTGAACTCAGTGGCTCAAGCGATCCTCCCACTGCAGGTTCCTGAGTAGCTGGGAGTACAGGTGTGTGCCACCATGCCCAGCTGAGCCCAGGTTTTTAACACAGTGCCTCCTCCTTCGTCCCTCTCGAGGCCACCACTTCCCTGCAGCCTGTAAAGGAGATGGCTTGTTCTGCCATATCCCAAGTAGTTCTCCTCTTCTTCTAAAACAGTTCTCAGCTGTTTGGAAAATCCCCTTCTTCCTGAGGGCTCAGGCTGTTCGGCTTCACTACATCTCACCCCTAATTTTGCCACCATCTAGATGATTTTTAATTATTCTTCATCATTAACTGAAGATATTTGTCACCCAGATCTACCGTTTTACCGGAAGAATTGCTGGTACCATGAGGAAATCCAGGGCTGAGTGGCCGACGCCGTAACTCAGTAGTTCCTTATCTTAATTTCTGTGACACTTTTTCCATGCGTTGGTTCAGCCACCCATGCCCACAGCCACAGCTTGGACCTAAAGAATGAGGACCTAAAGAATGAGGTCCAAGCTGTGGCTGTGGGCATGGGTGGCTGAACCAAAGCATGCAAGTTTTTAAGTCAAAATGGCATAGATTGAGGTGGGACATGAATAAATAATTTAAACAGTGTAGCTCAGTCTCCCATCCTGCTGTCTGTAGTCCCGCCCTCTCGCTGTCGCAGTTCCACGCCTTGGCCTCCAGGGGGAGCTCAGCCTCTCAGTCCTGAGGCCTGAAAAGTGCTGCCTTGGATCATAGATGCGCTGCGTTTTCAATCTTAGCGGGACGAAGTGGTAAGTACGAGGCTGATGGAGCCACGCATCATCCTTGAGATCCCATTTCTTCCACTTTCTAATGTATAGCGCTTGGCAGGCTGCTCAAGGTTCAAGTTCTCACCTAAAAAATGTAGATAAAAAGTGTACCTCACAGGGACTACATGAGGAATAACTGACTTAATTAAGTGAATACAGTGCTTACCAATAAAAGGAAGCCAGTTAGAAGTGGGTTTTCATTGAGAGGGGTGAAGAGGTTAAAGGCTATTCTTGTTGCATGGGGCGGTCTCCTGTATTTCATTCTTGTCTCAAGTAGGAATTTAAATCTTTGGAAAGCTTCTTCCATGGTATTGCTGCACAGCTGTGTGCATGGACCTGGCGCCTCCCACTCCCCCTCCAGCCCTATTTCTTGCTTCCCAAGGTCTACCAGGCCTCAGGGCTGGGGTCGGAAGGAAGAAAGTGGGAGTAGGTGGCTTTTGCAAGTCTCCCTGGGCCATATGACATTCTTCTCTCCTTGGGTTCATTGAACAGGGAATATACAGGTACAATGTTTTCCCTTTTTTGCATGTACATAGCTCATTTCTGAGAGTGGCATAGATGCAATTGTTGTTTAAGAGCCATTTAAAACGGTCACAGCCTTTAATTTTCACTTGTTTATCACAAAAAGGGGAAGAAAGATAATGCCTCTCACAGTAGCATGGCGAGTTTCTTTACCAGGCTGGGGCAGGACGAGGTGCTGTCTCTCACTTACCTCACATTCAGTCTTTAGTGCCCTACACTCAGGTTTCCTTTCGCTGCATCCAACCATATGTTCCCGTCAGGTGCCTGGATGAGGAAGCCCAGCATGGAAGGGGCCGGGTGTGGGCATGGTTCAAAATTTACACAAAAATGTGGAGATCCAAAGTGTAATAAATGGATTTGGATGATTTTTAAAAGTATCAGCTATAAAAGTAAATGCAGAGTTGGGTGTGGTATCATGTGCCTGTAGTCCCAGCTACTCAGAAGGCTGAGGTGGGAGAACCACATGAGCCCAGGAGGTTGAGGCTGCAGTTCTCTATGACTGTGTCTGAATAGCCACTGCATTCCATTCCGGGCAGCCTGGAGAAACCTCATCTCTTGAAAAAGAAAAAGTAAATGCAACTGCAGAAATACTTATTGAAACTTAAGATATATAGTATAGCTTGTGAAGGAAAGGACAGAAAGCAAAGGAAACCTAGGAGAGCTTAAAAATATTCAGCTTAAAACATGTTTACAGAAATTAGATTTAAAAACTAGTGATGAAAACAAATGTAAATTAATTTAAAACTCCATTTAGAAAGTGTTTAAAATAGATATATCTGGAAAAATAATATAAAAGTAAACACGATGGGTAAAATATTGTCAGCAAACACAAGTAGAAAATAATAGGGTGGCAGTATCATTTTTAGTGAAAATAATTTGAGACAAAATACAGAAATGTATCCAAAAGGGAAAGGGAAATTTTCTCTATATTAAGAATAAATAGAAAGTACAACTCATGCCAAACATTTTCTGTACAGAATGATGTAACATCAAAATACGAAGCAAAAATGCTCCATGATCTAGCAGTTTTACTCCTGGATGAATTCCAACATAAATGTATACTTCTTATCACTCAAAATAATATACTAGAATGTTCATAGCAACATTTTAAATAAAGCTCCCAATGGAAACCACCCAACTGATCACAATCAGTAGAATAGATAGATAAATTGTAAAATAATGGAATGTTATTCAACAATGAAAATGAATGTTCTGAAGACAGTCATCTACCCAACCCTCACATTCAGAATGCTGAGCAAAATATGTTCACCACCGGGAGCACGTGCTGTGTGATTCCATTGATGTAAAGGGAAAAACAAAAGAAAACAGATTTCTGTGTTTGGAAGCAAGGGTAGGGATTTCTCTTTGAGGAGGGCGGTGTGGTGCCTAGAAGGGAGGATGATAGGGAAGGGATCCTGGGGCTCTGGAAATGTCCTGGCTTAGATCTGTGTCTGATTAGGCATGTATGTTAGTTTTTAAAAAAATGTTCAGTCTATCCACTTGATTCGTGTACTCCTCTTTAAATATATTTTTAGTAAAAAGCATAAAAACGAAGGAAAAATGATCCGAAATATGGGAGAATTATAGAAAAAATAGTTATTTTGGAGTCTTTAGCATATTGCTTCAGACTTTCTGCTTAAAGAACAGATTTTTGAATAATATAGCTAGATTGTATTACTGCAAATGGTACCATACTTTAAAACATATATATACTCTGTTTAAAAAAATTGTTGACTCTATTTTACACTAAAAAGAAATCCTCAAACCTCAAAAGCAGGAATTCTATATATCACGTGACAGTCTGAAACTACAATGTGGTAAACTAGATATTAGTATTACTATTTTAAACAAATATGAAAATTACTTGGAATATCTCAAATATATATTTAAGGATTAAATCAAGGCAACACAGATAGCAATTATAATTGGTTTTTAGAAAATAGAAAGTGAGAAGAATACATATTTTTTTAAAATGTGTCCAGCTGTCTAAACCTGAATTTAGTGGCCATAGTGGCAGATTCATTGTCTCTTGTTTTTTAAAATGCAATAAATTATAATTCAGTTTGACAAAACAAATATAAAATAAACCAAAGAGAAGTAGGAGGGAGGTAGTAATGAGAGTAAAAGCAGTAAACAATATAATTAGAAAAGAAAAAAGAAGGAAAAAAGAGCTGATGATTAAATCTAAATACTTATTGCTTGGAAAGATAAATAAAACTATACAATATAGAACTCTAGCAAATTTAATTAGGAATGAAAGAACACAAACATAAAGAGAAACAAGAAGGAATTTTGAAATAAACAGAGTTCTTTATATCATGTTCAATATATATTTTTAATTGCAATTGTAGGAAATTGTAATTATATAGATTTAATAATGAGACTAAAACTTTAATAGACATAGAATGATTAGAGAAATTTGAAAGATTTTCAGAGTCTTCTTTTTCCAATTCATGGTTTGAGGTCAGATGGTTGCTTGTAAGTTTTTTCAAACTTCTAAGGAGGCTTTTGTTGGAGCTTGGGAGTCAGAAACCTGGGTGTCACCTGGCTCTGCCAAGTACTCACATGGCCTTTGACCTTGGCCAATCTACTTAACCTTGTTGAGTGAATGAAAGTACCATTGAGGAAGTGTTTGGACGCAGGCATGCCTTAGCCTTCAAGAGGTTATGATTAAGTGAATTAATGTATCTGAAGTTCTTAGCATCAGGCCTGTTAAATGGTGAGCATTCAATTAACATTAGGTGTTATATCATCCAATGTTTTGTAGTATATGGGAATCAGAATATCTATGAGTAATCTTTTGGTATTTATATATATATTTTCAGGTTATCCCAATCCAGAAAAGTTTTCCTGGACAGAATACCTGGAAGCTACTCAAACCAATGCAGTTCCTGCCAAAGTTTTTAAAATGGTAAGTTCTGTATGGGTACAAACTCTCACCTTTAAACAATGTTTGTATTGAGTCATGCCTCCATTTGGCAGTTTAAAATTATTCTAATTTAAAATTATTCTAGTTTTTTTCTTTCTAAATTCAAGTAGTAATTTCATAACCAATATGCTTTTCTTTTAGTTAAAAATACAAAGTAGATGACTCATTTGCTATTGTTCCTATATACGGATGTAGATGATGGTTTCCTTCCTTGAAAAATGGTAAATCAGAGATACAATTGAAAACACCTCATCAACTGCTGATGATCCATTCCTTACATTTCTGGTGCTATTAGTCTGCTGAGTGAGAACTCTGAATTTTCACAGTATCACTCTCTCAGGGGCTGTTTGAATGTCCGTGATGCCATAACAAAATAGTTGAGATGCATAGCCTTTGTGTGGATAATTTTATATATTTTGAGGTAAACCTTTCTTTTAGCATTTGTTAGAATACTAATTTTTAAAGTTCAAATTTGTACTTACATATTTATTCTAGGATTGAACTAAATATAAATTAATTTCTAAAATAAAGTACATAGGTAGTACAGTTAAAGATATTTATTTCCTAAACCTAAACCAGTGGTTTTCAAACTCTATTTCCTTTCAGTTCTCTGTGTGTTTCAAGTCCTCCAACTTGTCTTTAATCAGAATTTTATATATTGGGCTTCTACATATGATTTCATTTGCTGAAAGTTTTCTAGAGATCAAGAGGGGTTTGAAACAAAATGATATTTCATTTTTTGAAAAAATTGATTATAATTGACTGGATTTGGGGGGAAATGTCCATATAATAAAATCAGGAAAGTAGAAGTGCTGGAGTACTAGGAAGGGTTTTAAGAAGAGCAAAGATTCAGCAAGCAAAAATACTTACTGTATTTGACTTTTCCAAGAGGAAAATGACAAGAAAATAAAATTCTGAAAAGTAGCGAAGAAGGCAACTTTCAGGCTCTGTCCTGGGTTATTGTGGATTCAGCTCAGGGATGTATCTTAGGCATCTACGATGCTGAACTCTTGTACCTCTGTTGTTTAGGACAGTGACGCTGGGGAGAACAGAAAGAGTCTCGGGGTGAAAGACCTAATTATAGTCAGTATACTCCATTTAGTAGATGTAATAAGGCATCTTACAAAGAAAATGTGTTCTGCAAAAGCTGAAGAGAAACACACCAGATATTGCAGAAAGATTTGATGGTTTCTTACTGACATATTAGTAGGGTTTTATTTTCCTTTTGCCATTTCTAGACTTGAAAAATTCAAAACACTTTCATTTCCAATAAAACTAGTTGAACACTTTTATGTGTCATAGTTTTCAAAGTGAAACTTTTTGCCAGCCTATAGAAACTATCAGAGTTGCTTTTGACTTTGATTTTTGAGAGTTGAATTTCCTTAGTTTCCATGATTTGGTTAAGTCCAATGTCTTTTTTCTTCCTCTGTGATTATGACTCCTGCTGTGTCTGTGGTTACAGACTCTTGGTTCCTAGCAATGTAAGACTTGAAGTAAACCATCACACAGATCAACTGTCTCTTGTTACAGTTGAAATGACAAAAGCATAGGTTATGACTTTAAAGTGTATCATAGTATGATTTTAAAACAGTTTAACAGTTGAAATTACACAGCTTTTATCTAAGCATATTTTAGATTTATAAAGGATCATGTTTATCCTTTCTGAGTATTTATTAAATAATTTTGCCTTCTGTGCCATACACTTTGAAACTGGGCAATGAGAATAGTTAATAGTTTCTGAAATTATATGGTCAATATCAGAAAGAAGGAAAAAATCTAAACCAATATAGAAACTGTAATAAGATGCTTTTTGAACTTTAGTGTAATCATTAACAAACTTATGATATAATCTGTCTTTGTCTTTTTAGCTGTCTTTAAAATGGCCAAAAAGTTATTTTTTCTCTCACAGGTTTTTGTGAATCAGATGAAATAATATGCATACAGTCCTATGTGCACTTAAAACTAAATTCTCTCCAGGCACGGTGGCTCACGCCTGTAATCCCAGCACTTTGGGAGGCCAAGGTGGGCAGATCACCTGAGGTCAGGAGACCAGCCCGGCCAACATGGTGAAATCCTGTCACTACTAATAATACAAAAATTAGCTGGGTGCGGTGGCGCATGCCTGTAATCCCAGCTACTTGGGAGGCTGAGGCAGGAGAATCGCTTGAACTCGCAAGGTGGAGGTTGCAGTGAGCCAAGATCGCACCACTGCACTCCAGCCTGGATAGCAAGAGTGAAACTCTGTCTCAAAAACAAACAAACAAACAAACAACAACAAAAAAACAAATAAAACCTGAATTCCAGTTGTATTAAAGATCGGCTTACTAAAACTGAAACAATAATATTTTAGAAAAAATTAGTAGGAGATCTGAATTACTGAATATTGCATTTTTTTTTGTACTTATAACATTTACAGAGGTTGCCTCATGGTTTTCTGCCAAATATGAAACTTGAAGTTGTGGATAAACGGAACCCCAGGTTAATTCGTGTTGCTACGATTGTAGATGTTGATGACCAAAGAGTAAAGGTACATATTTTAAATTACTATGTTATTATATCAGTATTTTTCCTACATTAGTATTTTTCCTCTACCTTCCCATTCTATGAACCTCCCTCATTTTTTAATTCATCTGCACAATAGTTTTCTGGGGGAAAAAACATTCTGGATTTGACCTTGAAGATTGACCCTGGCCAAGATGGGACTAGAGAATCCCTAAAAAAGGAGAGGGGGTAACTCACACCTTAAACTGGCTACAGAGGCTCTGATTTTTTGGTACAACGGAAGAATAAAACTCCAACTGGTTTAATTTCTTGTCACGGGTCTTTGGATGGAGAGATTCCCAGCTTACGTGTGTGTACAGGGGAAAATCTGTAGATGAGACATGACTGACTTTGAGAGAGATTCTAATACATTTCTGTTTGGTTTTGGTGTTTTGACTTTTACTGTCAGTTCTTTTTTTAAGCTTCTTTTTATTGGCATTATTCTATTTTTCTTGAAATCATTGTCATTAAACAGCTTACCAAGAACAATTAAATCTTTGTTTCCTGCTTTTCTTTGTCAAACAAAAAATTAAAAAGTTTATTCACTGTAACTAAAAACAAAAGGTTAGATTTCGAATGAAGGATTTGATTAAAATATTTCTATACTATCCTTTATTTTTATCCTTTATTTTTCTCAGAGAGCTGAAAGCATCTGTAGAATTTATTAAATTTTCTACAACATATTACACTTCAAAAATTATTTTCCATGCAAGTATATTTTCTTTTCATAATAATAAAGATTGAAGTCAACTAATTTTAATAGCCACTATCTTAAAAGATTTAGGTTTGATATAATTGAAAAGAAATCTTACTTGCTGTATCCCTAATTTGAAAATAATATCTGATTCAATTTATGGAGAATAATTAGTACATACATTTTAGTAAAATTTAGAGATGAGTGTCCAGCTTGACAATAGATTATCAAAAGAATTTATACTGGAAATGTCCTTTACTCTTCTGATGAATGAAAACAAAAACTATGTTAAATAATATTCGGGAATAACATAGGTATTTTACCATATACCTTCTTATTAATGTTTTAAGTTTAATTTTAAGCATATTCCTTTAATTCTTATTTATTTCTGGCTTTTTACTGTTTACTTTTATGGCATTTTCAATGGAAATGACTTTTGCATATCATAATTGCTTTGTTAATTCAGTGACATTTTATTATTAACTTTCATTTTAAAAGTAGTTCAGGCACAATGGCTCATGCCTGTAATCCCAGCATTTTGGGAGGCCGAGGCGGGTGGATCACCTGAGGTCAGGAGTTCCAGACCAGCCTGGCCAACATGGTGAAACTCCATCTCTACTAAAAATACAGAAATTAGCTGGGTATGGTGGCACGTGCCTGTAATCCCAGCTGCTTGGGAGGCTGAGGCAGGAGAATTGCTTGAGCCCAGGAGGCAGAGGTTGCAGTAAGCCGAGATCATGCCACTCTACTCCAGCCTGGGCGACAGAGCTGGACTCCATCTCAAAAAAAAAAAAAAGAGTATTGCATTTCTAAGATAAGCTCAATCTTAATAGCACATCAAATCTGACTTAGACTTTTAGTTGACAGACTATTTTCTTATTGTTCATAAGATATTTACTGTAGCATCGATTGATCATTTGTTGCCAGTTTATGAGCAAGCAATTGAAGTTTTCCTGCTCTCGGCTTTGCCCAGTACATTCTTCAATTAATGTGTTGATCATATTGTTCTGTTATTCTCTAATTTTCTTTGTAAAGTCAATATTTTTCAAAGGCAATCTTGATCCCAGCACATAATAGATGCTTACTGTATGTGTGAGTGAATTAAGGAAGGTGTGGAGGAGTGAATGGCAGTGAATGTACTTTGGCACTCTGACTGTTATCTGAGTATGCACCTATGATTGTGTTGGTCAGCAAGCACTCTTCTCTTGTTTTCAATTATTTTCATAACTGCTCTTCTCTTGGACATCTGGAGTAATAATGTATTGGAAAATGCCCTCAGACAAGACTGATCTGGGTTCAAATTCCAGCACTGACTTATTTGACTGTGTGGTAACTTGGTGAAGTTACTCAACATATTTGAACTTTCCTTATCTGTAAAGTGATGGCATCAACCATACCTACCTCACAGGCTTGTTGTGAAAATTCAGTGCAGTCGTGTCTGGAAAATTCCTGAAACTCTACCTGGCTCTTTATATTATAGGTACCTTAGCAGTAGCCGCTGCTGTAATTAGTTGGTGCATACTTGCTGTGCTGCCCTCCCTGGGTGTATTTATTTTCTGTATTTATGAAGGGGCCTCATGGAAGTAATTGTCATCAGTAGATGAACAAAGGACAAGCCTACCCTTCTTGGTTCAAAAAGCAGGAAATTTGATTGAAATTATGTGGGGGATGTTAATGGGAGCAGATGTTACTGTGCTGCATGCCTGTGTTTGATTGTGAGAGCAGAGGCAGCCTGTTCTAACATCAAGAACTACATTTTCAACAATGCCTATGGTGGTGATGACACTTAGTCTTTGTCAGACACCATTCTAAGGGCTTTACATTTGTTAAATGTATCCTCCTGCATCCATGTGAAATAAGGTACTGTGGTTATACCCACTATATAGATGAAGAAACTGAAGCCCACAGAGGTTAAATAACTGGTCCAAGGTCACAAGATAGTATATATGGGAACAGGGCTTTAAACCCCAGCTTTTAAACAGATGTTTTCAACTCTAGAGCTTATAGCATTCCTACTCTTCCTACTCTTGTGTTCTAATTTTTATCCTAAATAACTCACTTCCTAGTGGGAGAGCAGATGTGTTGGATGAGGAGTTGTGACTGCCCACAACCCCACTCACTTTGTCGCTTGTGTCCAAGTCCACATTGCCTGTCCTGCCTGGAGGGTCCTGTGTGGTACTGGCAGTTCTTGACAGAGCACGACAGATCCACTAAAGATGACTTCATTTCCTTCTGCCACTCCCCAAATATGTGGTTGGCCTTATGTATTTTATTAGTTCTATTTTTATTATACCTTTTTTGAGATACAATTCATATACCTTAAAATTCAGTGGTCTTGAGTATATTCACAAAGTTGTGCGACCATCACCACTAAGTTTAAATATTTTCATCACCCCAGAAAGCAACCTTGTACCCATTAGCAGCCACTCCTCATTCTACCCTCCTTCTACCCAACCAAACCCCTGGTAGTCACCAATCTATTTCCCATAGTGTCTATGGATTTGTCTAGTCTGTGCAATTAATATAAACAGAATCCTATAATATGTGATCTTTTGATTGGCTTCTTTCACCTGGTATAATGTTTTCAAGGTTCATCCATGTGGCAGTAAGTATCAGTACTTCATTCCTTTTATTTCTGAATAATATCCATTTTATGGATATACCACATTTTGTTTATCTCCTTGTCAGTTGATGGACATTTGGGTTGTTTATTTTGGGCTATTTTGATTACTGCTGGGATAAACATTTACATATGTTTTTGTGTGAACATATATTTTCATTTCTTTTGGATATATACCTAGGAGTGGAATTGCTGGGTCATATGGTAACTCTATATTTAAGATTTTGAGGAAAAGCCAAAATGTTTTCTGAAGTGGCTGCACTGTTTTACTTTCCCATTAGCATTATACGAGGACTCCAATTTCTCCACATCTTCACCACCACTTGTTACTGTCTGGTTTTTGTTTTGTTTTGGTTTGGTTTTTTGTTTATTTGTTTGTTTGTTTGTTTTTGCTAGTTTAGTGGGCCTTATGGGCTTCAGGTCTAAAGAAATCAGGATTATTATTATTTATATGTGCTCGCTAATAGTATCCCGGCTAAGAGAATTGGGATGAAATAACTTGCCTAGTGTTTTAATAGTAGAAGTGGTAACAGTAGTGGATGTAGTGGTGCAAGTATCAGAAGTAATAGAAGTAGTAATAGTAGAGTGGGTACTTAGCAAGTATGTTATATATGATATTTTTGGCTTTGCATCAACTCTTTTAAGTAGATGTTATTTTTGCTGTGTAGTTGACATGGAGAACTTAAGCAATCTGATGAAGTTTCAAGGATATCCAAGTTTCTAATCCGAAACCAGTATTCTCTACGTTTTAGCAATTGCCCTGTAGCTGCGATAAGCCATTGGAATTAGAGACCATACATGGTCAGTGCGGGGGGATAGGACTGTGAGCAGCCTCATCCAAGATCCTCTACTCGCTCACCCTCATAAATCCACTTAAACTAGTTAGGCTAGATTTTCTGATTTTCATACTGAAAATACTTATTTGGTGATGTGTGGTTCATTGGCAGGTGAGTGGTGAAGTTTTTCATGCCATGGCAGGGTTTTAAGATGCTAGTTTATTAATTATGATAGTTGCTCTCTAATAAATATTTATGATGTACTCGGTGTATCTTGTTCAATTTATAGCCAGCTATTATGTTTAATAGTTATTCTTTTGTTTGATTGTACAGTGTGTGCTGTTATATCTGAAAGCCCATTACTGTCACCTTATCAGAAAATGCACATTAAATTACAGTAGATGGATGGATGCTTTTAGGAAGTTTAGCCATTATTTGTGGGAAAAAGTATTCTACAAATAAATGTAAAGGAAGGACTTAAAACAGAGGAATATTTGATAAATATTTGCCCTGTGGGAAGTGCAGCTAAGCTGTGAAATGAATTATAAATGAATTTCAAATTGATGTTTTAAGAAGTTCTACTGAATCATTAATAAGTTGAGTCCTTCAACAAGTCTTTTCCTATTTAATGCATTAACTGGATATATTTGTGGCATTTCACAATGAAATCAGAGCATCATGACCAAGAGGAATTGTTATGGCTGTCTAATTAGATGACTAGAAACTATTTTGGATTTTACGTCAGACCAATAAGTTCAAAAGCTCTTGTTTGAGAAAAACCTGCAGGAGTATTAATGCAAAGCAAAAATCCAGATATGAGTCAGTGATGTTCACTTTACTACGGGTCGCCTGTGCTTCCAGAAAGAAGCCACCTGACCTCTGTCTAACTGGCATAC